TTGGTTCCCAGCATTGGCTAATTCTGGTAAAACTGGCACTGGCAGCAGCTTGTGGGATGGAGGATTTTGCAGGCCCAGGGGGGCTGGCTAGTCTGCTGCGGGGTAGGGGGTATTGTCTGTCTTGGGGTGAGGCAAGCAACCAGGGGGCTAAAAATAGCTTAGTGCCAGGGTAGGAAAAGTGCAGCCCCAGGTCTGGAGCCCATGGCTCAGCTTTCCCAGCCCTGGGGCTGCACTGGGAAATGTACAGAAGTCCATTTAGATTGGTCTCGCCGGACTTGATCTAAGTTAGACTACCTCCAAGGTACAGTTAACTTAGATTGGGTCAGCCATTTTTAGACTGATCTAAACTTCCTGAACTTCTGTACAGTTCGCACTTAGATCGATCTAACTAGGGATCCAGTGTAAGCCCCACACCAAGGCAAACTAAATTAGGTGAGGTGGCCATTTTTAATGCGATCTAACCTCCCCAAATGTCTGTATGTACCTCCACATTCTCTACCACACCCTTGTCTTCCAACCTAGCAGGTCTTCTCACTGACCCCAACCGAAGGGTTGTGCGAGGACATCATAGAATCGTAGAGAAGTAAGGCTGGAAGGGACCTCGTCTAGTCAACACCCCCTCCCCATCCAAACCATCCTATGCAAATCCATAAACTGACCTACTAGTAGGCCTACACAGCCAACCCTGATACAACCACAAGACATAATGCACTAACATGCCACAGATGGATCAGGGGGACAACAGTGGCTAATGTCCTGCTGCTGCAAGCATTGTTAAAATATTCTTGAGAGATCCAAGGAAGAGGGCCATGCCCCCTGCTACAGAGGAAGGCAAAACATCCACAGCCCATACTAATCTGACCATGGGGTAAAATTCCTTCCTGACCCCAAATATGGTGTGATCCTGAGCAGAGGAGAAATCTTCCAGCCAGGAATCTCCAGGTCTCAGTCCCAGCAGGAGCACTGGTGCACCCCAGTCATAATCCTCAGCCTTGGCTGCCACCAAAAAAAAAAAGTAAACCCTGACACACGTAGCAGCAGGAGGGGGAAAAAATCCTTCCCGGCCCCATATAGCAACCACCGAAGCGCAGAAGCATGGGCAATACCCATAGTAGAACGTAGCCACAACTATGCCTAGGTCATCTCTGACCTGTGCCTGTCCAACCTCTTCTTCAACAGCTCCAGTGATGGAGAGTCCACAGCTTCCCTGGACCATCTCTTCTACTGCACTGAGTCCCAAGATGAAGAGGTGTCTAGGGCAGGCGCCTTTCAGCAGTCACAGAAATGCAAACAGGAATGTGCACACTCACCCCCACGTCCTTCATCTGCTTGGACTCACAATAACACACTTACATCCTCGACACCAACAACCACTCATACTGGCTCACATGTGACCTCACACACACTTACACAGCAGCATGCCCCTCTGGACACACTTTCTTCTGCTCACACTCACACCATCTCACCACTCTCCCTGATGCTCACTCATACTACACACACTCCTGCAGACTGATGCTCGGGTGAGGTTTTGTCCATTTGACCTCCCCGCTGCTCTCACTTCTCAGCCATCCAGGGTCGGATGCCCAAAACTCCTGGTGAAATGTTTGCATCTCTGTGTCCTGGGGGTGCTTAGGAACCCCCTCCCTGCCCAGCTCAGACACCCTGCCCTCCTTAGCATAATTAACACAAGGCCCTTTAGGTCTCCTTGTCAGAGGAGCTGGTGTCAGCTAGAGTGAGAGGTGGTCAGCACTGAAGATGCAGCCTTCTTTGCCCAACCCCTGTCCTTGCCATGTTGGAGCAAAGAGCCCTGTGAACTTCATGCCTCTTTTGTTTTAATCAGGATGTTGATCTTGTGAACCCAGCAGCACTGGTACCAGCACAGCCCTCCAGACTATGTGCTACCTGCTGCCTCTTCACCAAGTCCCTCAAATGGGGAAGGCAGTGGGGTTACAGCTTTGTAACTGCAGAGCTTTGTCCTAGCTCCAGCTGCAGCTTCGAGCTGTGGAGGTCCTGGTCCAAGCCCCAGTGCACTGGCCCTGACAGCTGTCAAAACACACACTCGGCAGCAGCCCATCCAGACAGGTCCTTTGGGTGCTGCCCTGATACAGCAGTCCAGGGAGCACTCCTCACGTGCTCGCACTCCTCACAAGAGCTGACCTGAGGGTGGGTGTGCGGGCCATTGCACTCCATGCGGTTTCAGTGGGGCACAAGCCCTTGCACAGGGGCAAACATTTGCTCCCTGCTACAGCTGCTCTGTCCAGCACACCGGCCCTTGTACCCATTGACTAGAACAGATGGCAGCACTTTGTACAACCAGGACCACAGCATCAGCCCGGTTTGAGGAGGCTCCAGGCCCCGCAGGGGCTACTGTGGAAACCCATCCAAGCAACTAGCTGGCCCATTCCTAGCCCTCCCAGTCTGGGATTCATTGACTCTCACAATCCCCAGGGGCAGGACAAAGGGGCAGCCCCTTGTACCAGCTGAGATACGAGGCCCAGGGAGGCCAGCAGACTTTCTCAGGGGCACCCAAGAGGCCAGTGATGGAGCAAGGACTTAAAGGCAGGTCCCTTGAGCATGGGCAGGCATCTGAATTTCTGCTCTCCCCGCACTCCCATTCCCATCTCCGGTTCTGTTTCTGTAGCTCCAGCATCCTCCTCATTGCCTCCACCCCAGAGGCCCTAGGCAGCACTTTGGCCTGGCCCACCCCAGTGACACTGGGCCATACAGGGGCTTAGACCCAAACTGACCCATGGCAGAGCCCTAGGCCTTGGCACTGCCCATCCCTGTTCAGATTGGCAGGCGGTGATGCCAGAGACCTGAGCTGTATTAGGGAGCCCCACCCAGGTACAGCCAGGTCCGTTCAGGCTGGGTGGTCTCTCATGGGTCCCTGGAGGGTCCCTGGGGCCTGTCCATCCTGCTAGGACCTACTGCTGCTTTGCTAGGAGTGCCCCCAGCCAAGTTTTGGGGGAAGATTTGTGTGGGGAGCAGGGGTCTTCCTCCTCGGGAACAGCTCCTGTTTTCTGGATGAACCTCCCCTGTGTAGGCAGCAGCAGCAGCAGCAGGAGGGGAAGAATAAAAGAGACAGTGCCAGGAAGAGTCAAAGGCAGTCCTACCTCCCAGGGTAACTCAAAATCCCACTTGGCCCACAAGGTACCCAGTGCGCCTGCCTCCCTCTGCCCCTGTGACTTCTTGGCCTCAGAGAGAGACAAAGCACACTGCCCCAGCAGCTGACCCGCCAGGGATTGAGCTTCTCTGATTAAATCAAATAAATTAGTTCAACAGCATCCTTAAGCTTCTAGCTGAAATTAGACCTATCCCTGACGGGAGTGGGGTCAGCCCTGCTAACATGGAAATGGAGCGGACCGGGCTGCAAAATCAGAAGGGAGGTGGGTGAGCCCTTGGGGCTTTTTCCCGAGCACACCACCCCCTCCAAAATGCACCACGCCACCTCTCTGCCTCTTAGCCCTGGATCTGAGCCTGTCCCTTCCCCATGCTCTGCCTGGTGCAGGGATTACACTTTAATCAGAATCTGTGTGGGAAGTTGTAATATAGATTACAAGCGGTTGGCATCTACCCTGGGCATATCAGCCACAGCCCATCCTGCCCGGGGATGAAACCTTACTGTCACGCTGGCTTGCAGACAATCTCGCTGCCTCGGTGGAGTGCAGATTAACGCAGTGGGGGGCAGGGTCTGTGTGTGGACGTGGGAGGGCTGGGCCCACACCAGTCCCTTCCAGACTTGCAAACCTTGATTAAGTTTTGCTGCCTAATCCTCTTGGGTCTGTGCAGGGTCCTAGCACATCAGTAACCCCACAGCATTCTCCCAGCCACAGCTCCTCCTGGCATGGTGCTTGGGAAGGCTTTTAAGCTATCAGCCTGCCCAAAGGAGTGAGGGACTGGGGCATGGGGATCCCAGCCAACTTGAAGAGGCTGAAGGATGCCAAAAAGGGCTGAGGCCAGTGCCCCTGCAGGACACAGTGGTGGGGAGGGGGAACTAGCATGGAAGTGAAGGCCAGCTTGGAAGACAGGGTATGACCTGCCTTCTCTTCTTGGGGTGATTCCTGTGCAGCTGCAGAGCTCCACTGATGGGCCCAGAGCCCCACGGCTGTCCGGCCGCCTGTGCGTTTCAACCCCGGGCTGGAGGGGGTGGAGGGAGAGATGGACCTTCTCGTGGAAACTACACTGCTAAACTCAGTTCACCCTTTTTGTCCATGCAGCCACCTCCCAGCTCTCTCCCCACCCTGGATCCTCTCTGCCAGGGATTGTGGCCTGTCAGAGCTGGCAGCCTGGTCCCCAGGTCTGTCTGAGCCATACTTCAGCTGGGTAGCCCTATCAAGGGCTCCTCAACATGATCACGCTGACTCGCCAGAGGCAGAGCTGTGGACTGGTTTGGCTTGGCAAAACCAGTGCAGCCAAGGCCTCGGCGACTCTCAGTTACTAAGCACTGGTCCCCTTGGATCACATATACCAACCCTTGGCTTTTTCCAACCATTCACCCTCTGGCCACAGCCGTTGCTCTACTCTGACTCCTCTCAAACCCACCTCTGGGTGCCCCCACCTGGTGGCACTGCCCTGGCCCTGTCTCCCTGGCACTGCAGACATGGGAGGCATGCTCCCTCAGTCCCTCTGGGGTCAGGGCTGCTTGCTCATTGCACAGAAGCCCCATCCCCAAGGCATCTGCACCAGCCAGGACCTGAACTAAGACCCTCCCCCAGGCTTCAGTCCCACATGGCTACTCACCTGGGGGGCACACGAGAGATCCCAGGGCCACCCTTGGGAGTGGGGAGAAGAGTGACAAGGTCCCTCCACCCAGGAGGCTTTAGCTTCCCCTCCTAATACCTTAATCCCGCTCTTATCCCCGTGAGTCCCCGTGACACAGAGAGTCCTCCTGACCTTGCAGCACAGACGGCCCCTCCCCAGGGAGGGGGACCTGGCAGCTCTTGGCCCCAGTGCTTGTCAGACACAAGCGCTCTGCGGGCTCTGTGCCGCCAGGATCCAGCATGGCTTCCTTTTTCACGACAGCCATGAAAAGCTTCAGGGGCGGAGGTGAGGAGCAGGAGGAACCCAAGGATGGGAAGAAGGCAGAGCTGCCCAACGGCATGTCCCACGAGGAGTTTGAGGAATACCAGCGGCAGCTGCTGGAGGAGAAGTAAGACTCTGCCCTCTGTGGCCCTCTGCCACCTGGGTCCCTCTGCGCCCACGGGCTGCCAGCCACCAGCTCGGTCTCAGCCCCGAGGAAGGAAGGAAGGGAGTGGGAGGGCGCACCCAGCTGCTCTGGGCATGGACGATGCACCAAGCCGAGGCAGAGGCCAGCTGGGTCACCAGAGCCCCATGGGTGAAGGGAAGGGGCTGTAGTGGGTGCTCCTCCACAAGCTTTCCTTGGACGGAGGTCCTGACCTGCTGAGAAGCAGGGGCTTCTCCAGCCCAGTCTGAGGAGCTGGCCAGGGGGAAAGCCCCAGGTGGGACATCAAGGCTCAGGAGCCAAGAGGATAGGGGAGGTGGTGGGAAGGCAACATGGGAGAAAGTAAGAGAAGCACAGGGAGTGAGGAGGCAAGAGGAGCAAAGCCTAAAGAGTGCTTGGGCAGGGAGAGGCTTGGCAGAGACACAAAAGCCCCTCCATCAGGCTGCTCGCCAAGGGCCTGGCTCTCAGTCTGTAGGGATGAGGTACGGCCTCCTTGAAGGCCAGCCAGCCAGGATCCCTGCCGGGTAAGGACAGACACAGGCCCATTGAGAGCAAGGCTTGCAATTACAGGTGGCTCAGGAAAGGGACATTTCCAATGAGCACTGAGGGCTCAGCAGGGGTGCTCTAGCTCTTGACTTCCTGCCCTGGGCTACGAGGTGGCATTGCTGTGGGTTGCTGGACTGCTGCTATGCTCCCAGCCATCCCATGTGAATCCAGAATGATGTATCACATGCAACATTTGACTCACTAGCACTCGGGGACCCCAGCCAGCCCTGCTGCGACAGCTGTGAGCTGACATACAGGTGTTGAGGAGCATGCTTCTCAGAGCTACGTTTACAAAAGTGGCCCCTGATTTTGGGCACCCAACTTGACAGGGGGTGAAGCCCAATTCTTGGAAGTGCTCAGCACCCAAGATTGCTGTGGGTGGCCTGGAGCCACTGGAATTAAACCCCACTTTAGAAAGCAGCAGCCTTCAGGGCTGAGGAAGCTCCCTGAGAGCTTCAGATGAAAGTATCAGGATGGGGCCAAGGAGCAGGACACTTACGGTGCTTGGAGACTGCCCAACTAAATGCTTCACTAGTTCACTGGCTGTTGGCACTGGGGGTCCTGGTGCACAGTGCCATGTGCAATCATCCTGTCAGTCCATCTTCATGCCAAAATTTGAGCCATGCCTAACCCTAGGCAGCGGTACAGCAGGACTGCATCCACATGCAACATTGAATTGTTACCTGTTGCTAACAAAGCAACGTATGTCTGGATTGTGGCCTTCATTCCAGCTCTGCAGAAGCTTGTGTCTATCTAAAGCACTGAGAGTTTGGGCTGGGCTCTCTGTTCTGCTCTGAGTACGCCTGCCCTGCGGGCATCTGTGTGGGATAAATGAGTGTGTGCAGTGTAAGGTGTGGTCACTGGAGGGCACGCTTGCTAACTTGGCAGATTATCCGATACTTTCAGGCAAGGTATTTGCGAGCAGCCACTGCCTGGGCAGCCTCAAGTCTTCGGGGATCTGATCTGAGGCATCCTGGACCTTACAGCCAGCAGTGCTGGGCTCCCTTGGGCCCTGGGGATGTTGCTAGGTGAATGGGTCTGCCGCTGGGTAGAGGGTCACTCCGGCTATTTCTTGTTCCTTCCTGCAGGATACAGCGGGACAAAGCCTTTGCACATAAGAAGGCAGAAAGAGCCACTGTCCGGATGCACCTTCGGGGGAAGTACCGCCTGCCACAGGTACGGGTCGCTTGCTCAGGGTGAGGCCTGGCAGTGCCCCAAGCGACCAAGGGCTGCGCTATCCCAAAGCCACACCAGAACCAGGATGGGTGCTTGCACCATCCCCTGCAGGGAAAGTTCTCCAGCTCCTTGGAGCCAGGGACACACTCCTTGACAGGAAACAGCTGTTCTCTGCCATGCCATTAGTTTGGCACCTCTGTGAGCCTCCAGGGAAGACCCAAGGCTGGGGCTCCTTCCTGACGAGGGCAGCAGCATGTTCCTCTGTCTCACACGCACACCCCAGCTGGTGGCATCACACTACTGCAACCCCAAGTAGCAGCAGCCTCCTGCGCGCCTGGAATCCAGGGAATTATGTCCCGGCCTGCAACGTGGCATCGTACCAGGTGCAGCCAGCGTACCTCTTGCCCACAAACGCACCCTTCTCCCAATCTCCAAGGTTTCCCCCTTGAGATCTCTGCTTCCAGGTTTTCCTGGCTCAGAGGGATGGCCTGCTTTTTCTGACGACCAGTGTTATTGAGACCTACCTGCTCTGACAGCTGGGGTAAGTCAGCAGAATAGCTCTTCATACCATTCAGGGTCCTAAAGCATGACACTGTCACACCACTGTGCAGCCCTATTTGTCCTCTCTTCTAATCATCACTTCCATGACTATGGCACCTGCAGCTATGGCATCCCTGGCACCCACTGCCACTTCAGGGGGGCCCTGGGCTAGAGGCAGGGCAGAGGGTTCACTGGCTTTCTTTCCTCATTTCAGAGTGAACAGGATGGTGCCCAGATCCAAGTGGCTGGAGGAGATGTGGATCTCCCTGAGGATCTGGCTGCGATGGTGAAAGAGAAGGAAGAGGAGGAGGAAGAAGGGTCATACTCTTTCTTGGAGAAGCTGCAGGGGATGGATTTGGAAGCCTTGAAAAGTAGAGCACAGGGTACATTTGATGAGGTGAAGGGGAAATGCGTGCTGATGTAAGCCCTAGTAGTGCTGCCCAGCTGGCTTCCTGCTACGTGAGCCCATGCTCAGGTTTGGGGCTCTGTCACCAGGTGAGAGCAGCTCAGTCAGGCATGCAGGTGGGTCCGAGTGTCCCTGGGGGATGTGGTTCCTCGGAGGTCTGGACAATCAGGTTCAGGGATACAAGGGCTATTTAGGGGCCCAGCTCCCAGTGGTTTCAATAGGAGTTTGCTGGCCATGTGAGGCACTTTAATGCCTATGAGGGTCTGGGTCTTAGATGCCACGGAGCTGGGTGCCATATAAAGTACAGAACAGCCCCCGGCTGCTCTCTCTTCTCCCTTAGCCATGAACACAGTGGTCTGCTGAGGCCACATGCAGGGCCCTCAGCCCATGCCCCATCTCTTCCTGGGGCAGCAGAGTTTGCTAGGGGCAGTGCTGCCTGGTCCTCTGGGGCTGCATGGCCCTGAGCCCCCTCACCACGCACACAGCTGCATTCAGCTAACCTGGTCTCTCATGAAAACTTGGCTCTGATGGCAGACTGCTGCGGTGCCTCCTTCCCAGAAAAGGCAGGAGCTTTCCCTATCCCTCAGCCCCAGAGGCGAGGGATAATACTCAGCCTGGCACAGCTCAGCCCAAGGTCCCATCCACCAGCAGTTGGAGTTACAGAGAACCACAAGGTTGCATCCCAAAGGCTGGATTTAGACACGTTCTTCACACACCATGTCGGTGGATCACAAGCGAGTAGCAACACAGTGCCTTGGCATCAGAACTGGACCAGAAATGCCCAGCGCATCACCTACGCAGCCAATTTTGGCATCTTTTTTCTGGGATTGTATGCCTCCTGTGCTGGGGAGAATGCAGTATTGCCCAAGTATTGCCCCAGGAAGGCTGTGAGCACAAATCTGTAACTCTAGCATTTGCAGCAAAACAGTGAAGGTGGTTGGGGAGGCCTATTTCTGCAAGGGGTAGGAGCAGGAGGCAGGCTTGCTAGTCGCACCTCTGTGCAGAGAGCATGTGTTACCCTGCCTGTCCATCTCCATTCCTAGCCCACTGCTTCATCTCTCTTCCTAGCCAAACCTGCACAGTGATGATTTGGAAATGCACAAAATCCAGAATCAGCCCCAGAATGGAGCTGCATGTAATTCTTAATTAAAGCTACGCACAATGGGAAGCTAGTGCAAATTGTTCCCTTTTTATTTTTCTCTTGTTAAAATACACTTAAATGATCACCTTTCTCTTTCATGAGACTTTGTGGTGCAGCGGGCAGGGCACGTTCCCAGTGCCGCTACAGACCTGCCACCTTCCCCTTGCTCTCTCTTGAGCAGATAGGTTGTGCACGCTGTTTGGGGTAGGAGCTGTCTCTGCCAGTGTGGGCCCTCACAACGTGTCATTGATCTTAACAGGGCCCTAACTGATAGTACTTGGTGCACAGGGCAGTTTTCTCTCCACACTGTAAAGTACCAAGAGCAGGTTGGAAGGTGGGTCTTGTTTCCAGCTGGGCTTGTTTCTACAAAACCGACTCCAAACCTATTTCCCTTCAGACCCAGACCTTATTCACTCTCAGATCCCAAGGCAAGTACGTGACATTCTCCCTCTTTAAATGATCAGACACAGAGCTGGGACTCTGCTTCTCCTTGCCTCAAATGCTTGTGTAGGCAGCTGGTGTGTCCCACCCCAGACGTCACCGCAGTTCAGTCCCTGCATAATCCTGTATTGTAACCAATATGCACTGAGCACAGCCCTGCATAGATATGTAGGGAGCAGGGGGGGCGCTGGATCTGCTCCCAGAGCCCGGGCACAGGACTGCTGCTAAAGCTGTTGCTGTTGCTGCTAAGCAGTAGCCTGGGCAAGTAAAACTACCCAGGAGCATCTACACAAGACATTTACTGTGCAGTTGACTGATTCACTACACATCTACACATGCAGCCCTATTAGGGCGCATGAAACTAATAAACTCCACAGCAAGACAGTTCTCATAAATACAAGTCCTACCCTGCTGTGCAGATCTTTTGTGCGCAGCAACGCACGTGTAGACACTGACACTGAGCCAGTCCCTCTGCAGCACGCTGAGCCCGGTTGGAGTAGCCCCGAGCCGGCAGGCTGACCCCTTGGGCCTCCTGCCAGCCTGGGCTGCTGTGACCCAGCTCAATGTGCTGTGGTCCGGGCGCATGTGTCAACCATGCACCCAGGGTAGTTTATAAACTGTGGAGCAATAAACTCATCAATTTATTGCTGCTAGTGTAAACATGCCCCCTTTCTCCTCACCCATGTTGCCCCTTCCCCCCCTTCCCAGTCTACTGTGGTCAGCATTGCCTCCTCCATCAGTCCCCCCTGCCCTGGGCACTCTGGAATTGAGCACTGGTGGCCTTTGCAGATGACCAGTTCCCATCAGTGGCCCCACTACACTACTTTTAATATTCAACTGAATTGAAAAGGGAAAGGCTGTTTGCTCCCTCCAGATCTGACACAGCCACAGTTCAGCCTCATCTCAGGATCTGGATGGTGAAAAGGTCCTTTTCTTTAGAAGGGAAAAGACTAGAACAATTATACAAGGACTGGTTTTCATCTTGCAGGTTATTTGCTTGAGTGCATTCCCTTGTTACATCCATTCAGCAGGTACTGTAGGCTTAAATAGGGCAGATCAGAAAAATAGCTCGGGGAGGCTGAAGGCTGCTAAGGTCACTAATACCTGCCTATTTTAGTGAAGCCTAATCTGCCTGAATCTCTTGTCCCCAGAGGACTAAGTCAGCTGAACTCATGTAAAGTATACTGTAGGATTTTGCAGCAGTGAGTCCTGATGGTGCTGTGCCCCCCCTGGATGCCACGGGCTTTGGGGCCATGGCTGGAGAATATGGGTTTAGTGAATTTTTATCAAAGCAAACAGTCTGTCCATGTGCAGTCCTTTCCTTCCCCCAGTGTAAACCCACTGGTTCCCAAAATCTGCTGAGCTGTTGGGGGCAGGGACACCATCTCCTTGTACATCTGCCCAGTCCTTCAACCTGTAGCGTGACTAAGGCAGGGTGAGCGGGGCAGCAGCCCCAGGTGCTATGTTGTGGGGGGAGGTAGGGAGGAGGACAAAAAAACAGCAGCTGCCACCACAGCCACACAATCACACCAGCAGCAGGCGGCAGCAAGAAGTCACCACTGCATTGTGCATTGCAGCTGCCCCAGGTGCCCGGCTGCCTTGTTACACCTCTGCCTACAGCCCACATGCTCGGGGAAGGGTGCTGGAAAACATGCCAGGCACATGCGGTGGAGTGACCTGCCCAAGGCCATGCAGCCAGTGGGAGGCAGAGCTGGGACTAGACTCCAGCCCTGGAGCCCAGAGTGCCCTTCCTCTGAGTAACCACTAGGCTTCTCTCCCTCCCAGCATTTCATGCAGTCTTGCCACATTTCCCGCCAGTAACAAACCGTGAGCTTGTGGCTGGCACAGAGTCCTTGCCCTCCTCCTCTGGGAGCTGCAAGCTTGACGACTATTATCTCTCAGCAATTCTGGTGGCTGCCTAAGACGCTGTAGCCAAAGCACCTAGGAAACATGATTTGGTAGCAAAGACTCAGAAATGGGAGTCCCTGACTCTTCCTGGCTTTGCAGTTGGCTTATTGCATGGCCTTGAGCAGTTCATGTCTCTGCTCTGTGCCTCAGTTTCCCCACCTGTAAAATGAGGCCTGTAATCCTTCCCTCCCTGGGAAGCACAGAAGTGCTTGGATAAGGGGTCTGCAGGCACCCAGAAAGGTTGAGTATTATCACTATTAGATGATAACACTCTGGTACCACAGAATGGAGAAGCAGAAAGAGATGCCATTCTGGCAGGTCATAGAGAGCCCTCTCGCGATGTCTGCTGCCCCCCATTCCCGTTGCCTTCTGAGCATTTGCCACAGCTGTAGTGAGGCCACATCTGGAGAGGAACACACACACTGTAGGAGCATGCGGCCATTCAGGCAGGTTACACAGACCCCCCCCGGAGGCCTGCTGCACCCTGAGAGTCCCCAGCTGGGAGGGGCTCCTGTGCCATGGTCCCTGGTGCCAGGGCTGTTTCTGAAGTTTGTATTAAATAGTGGGTAAAATCAGTCACCAGAGCCCAGGGCTCCTTCTACCCCAGGCAGTGTCTACCTTGCTGACCAGAGAGCCAGGCCGTTCGTGCTCTTCTTGTGGCTCGTGACTTCTCTTTCTGGCTCCCCACTGGCCTAGCTCTGAGAGAAGGAGTAGAGGCTGCTCTCAGCCCTACCTAGGGCATTGCGATCTGGGCATTTGAGGTTCCAGGCATTGTGGATGTGGGAGAGGTGGGGTCAAATCCCTCAAGGCCGAAGAGAGCCTAAAACCCAAGCCTTTTGTATTAACAGTTTTGCACAGACTCGGGCAGGACTGCACTTAGGCACCTCGCTCCACTTATATACCTAATTGGTGAACTAGAATCTGGCCCCACATGTCTGCAGGGAGAACAGGATCAGCCCCGGAGGGTGCGGTGGGCTGCCTGCTAAGGGAATGAGAGATGTGGGCTTCTTAGAGGTGGGACAGGCTCACTCTCCTGAGCCTTGCAACATAAGTTTGAGGCAAATGGCAGCTAAGTCTGTCACCTTAAAGGCAAAATAGGATTTGAGTCACACGATGCTTTTTCCTGCTCTGATGGACTTGTTGGAAGAGAGGCAGGGCTTGCTGTGGTCAATGGCAAGGAGGAAGAGGACTAAGGGAAAGGCCACATACACCTCCTTCCCTCCCTCCTGGTGATGATGAGTGTGGGGTGGGATTAAGGGGGATGAGATGCCAGCTCCTGCAGACTGCCTGAGAGGCACAGCTCAGACAGGCCGGGTTACCTAGTCATTCCCTGGGTACTGGGATGTCTTCGGAGAACCTAACCCACCCCTCCTTGTCATGGAGTCATAGACAAGTAGGGCTGGAATGGACCTCCTGCGGTCATCTAGTCCAGCCCCCTGCTCGAGGCAGGATCGCCCCCGTCTAAGCCATCCTAGACAAATGTTTGTTTAACCTGCTCTTAAAAGCTTTGTGAACAACCCTCACATGC